ATTCGGTTCTTTAGACGGTTGACCAACAGTCAACTTATTTTCTTTCTTTTCAAAACGATTTAGGTGTTACGGGTTTCTCATGAACTCTTTGACCACCGGTCAAACCAATTTAGACTTTCACCAAAGTCAAACCACTTAACATTTAATGCCTATGACGGAGATAGCCTCAATCCGTAATACCGAAGATAGCCTCAATTCGGTGGAGGTAGGATCCCTCGGGCGATAGCCTCAAACCCAAGATCACAGACCCTCGTGCGCACATCTTAACCTCACTGACCAGGCCCTGCAGCCGCCCGAGCAATGGCCAGTTTCTATGTTCGACATAATAAACCTATTGACCTTAATTACCGATTAGAACTAATTAATTAACTTAACTAATTCATTAAAGTCTTGGGTTTAACCATTCGGTCAAACCTACGTCGACAGAATATCCAGTCAAAGCCTAAGTCAAACATGACCTAACCCAAGTCAAAGTCAAACCTGTTCAGTCAATTCACAATCCTCAACAATTCAATTCAAATAATCAATTTAATTCAATTAACCAATTTAGCCAAATTATAGCATAAACATATATAACGATCCAAACCATTAAATCTATTCTAAATGCTATTAACTTCATAGTACGGACCTGGATTTCGCCGAAATCGAATCGATTGCTCGAACGGAGGACAAATCAACGAAATCAAACGAACGGGTCAAATTCAGTCAAAATAGGAAATCGACCAATCAATCCGGCGTGGAGGTTAATCTGCCGACGATATCAACTCGGGGCAGCGGCTGGATGCGGCGATGGTGACGGACGCCGGCGACAGTGGCGGAGCGGCAGCTGTTGGCGGTCTACCTTGTTCAAAATCGAGGGGATAGAGACAAACCGAAATAGGAAACTGAAGAAGAAGAAGAAACTGACCTGAGCTAAGGGCGACGGCGGCGCTCGACGGTGATGAGCAGTGGACTTCCGGCGAAGGCGAAATAGCGGCGATTGGAGACCGTCGTCGGCGGCGCTGACCCTGGCAGTGGAGGCGACGTCCAGTGGCGAGGCGCGGCGGCGCTGGACTCGACGGCGATGATGGCGGCGGCTACTGGCGAAGGAAAGGCAGCGGCATTGGAGGCGGAGGTCGGACGGCAGGGATGACCGGCGAAGAACGGCGTCTGGCTCGGGCGACGCCGGCGTGGTCGAACAGCAGGGAGGACGACCGGCGGCTGGCTCACGGCGGCGATCGAAGAAGAAGAAGAAGAAGAAGANCGGCGGCGCTGGACTCGACGGCGATGATGGCGGCGGCTACTGGCGAAGGAAAGGCAGCGGCATTGGAGGCGGAGGTCGGACGGCAGGGATGACCGGCGAAGAACGGCGTCTGGCTCGGGCGACGCCGGCGTGGTCGAACAGCAGGGAGGACGACCGGCGGCTGGCTCACGGCGGCGATCGAAGAAGAAGAAGAAGAAGAAGATGAGGATGTGCGGTTCTCAGAGATCCGAAGGAAAGAAGATAGGTTTAGGTTTATTTAATGGTCCCATTCCTAAAAGGATTGGGCTTCGAACCCAAAATACCTGATTAAATGGTCATAACATGAGCTCCATAACTCTGATTTGCGAGCCGTCTGAACCGATGCGATCACAAAAATATTTCCTACGAGATGACATAAAAGTTGGGCTTAGAATCCAAATTATAATTTTAACTCCTTTTTAGGCCCAATTCGTAATCAATTGCTCTAACAATTTAATTAATTCTTTTGGGCCAGATTTCGGGGCGTTACACGGTTCCTCACGCACTTTGCCAGGCGTCCCATTTCTCCGCCTAGGGTGCTGCCCGAGTTGTACCCTCAACAAAAGGGGTACCACGACCTCGACAATCAGCTTCAAGTGTCGGGTCTGTGGTCGTTCGTCTCCAGGAGCCGCTCGAGCTTCAATCCCGCCTTTGTCCGGGCCTTCTACTCCAATCTCCGCTGTGACGGGGACACCATACGCAGCAGCATCAATCTCTACGACATAGAGATTGATTTGCCTACCTTTGCTCGGGTCGCAGGGCTGCCCATCCGCGGTGACGACATCGCAACTTATGGTGGCGACGATTGGATCCTCAACAAAGAGGCGGTCGTCATTCGTGAACTTGGGATCACCAACTTGATCCGCCACAGCGACGCACCGACGATTCACTCAGCCCCACCGGACAAGCGCCTCCTCCTCTACATCATCACCCGGATTATCCGCCCTCGGGACAGCAGCCATACCTCGCTCTTCAACGAGGACTTGAAGGCGATTCACGCCATCATCCACGGTGCCTCCATCAATTGGGCGAAATTCGTGATGATCCACATGGCGGATTGCGCCTCCATCGCCACTGAGCGGAGCTTTCCATATGCCTTCCTCGTCATGGACCTCATCATCTCCGCCGACATCTCCATCGTCGGCCCGGACACAAAGATGACGAAGATTTGGATCATTCAAGACAGCACCTTCTTGAAGAAGTCCAGAGACATGACGGCGCAGGCCCCGCTCCCACCAAGGCCTCTTTGCAATCCATAGCCGATACTCTGAATCGGCTAACCCTCACAGTGGATGGCATGGGGCAGTCAATCGAGCGGATGGACTGGACGCTGCAACGCCAACACCAGGACATGACGGCGTTCTTCCGCGGCATCAACTACGTCCCGCCGCCCTTTGACAGCACCTTCCTCGGCCAAAACTATGAAGGCGAGGACGAGGAGGATGACTCCTATGCTCCATCCTCCTCTTCCCCGACGAGGCCGACTTTGAAGATGCGGTCGACGGCGATCCCATGGACGTCGAGGACGACGAGGACGCCGATGCTTAGACTTTTCTTTTCTCTTCTTACTATGATTGTATTTTTTTTATTTCCATTCCGTTGTATTCCGCATTTCCCTTTTTTTCATGAATAAAAGTTTACTTTTACAGTTCTAAAGTTTACTTTTAATTCTTTTTGTTAATGTCAAAAGGGGGAAGATATTAAGGTTATGCATAAATTGAGGGGGAATTCTTTTTTACTTTTTAAAATGGCATCTATTAAGGGGGAACATTTTTTTTCAAAATAATCCTCCTATGCATAACCTCGTCTCGTTTGTCATTATCAAAAAGGGGGAAATTGTTGAAACACGGGCTTGTCACGTTTTCGTACTAAAGTCGTGTTCGTTTTTGTAACAGGTTTTGATAATGCCAAACCGCCAAGATCAAGTCGAACATTGAATATACAAGGCGAAGAACGAAGATAAGAGCAAGAGCTAAACGAAGACCAAGAACGAAGACCTTAATCATAGTATTGAGTCGGTCTTTATTGTGATCAAGACCGACCCAATCTTTACACCTTGCCTCTTTAAGCTAAAATCTCTCATTGCACTTCTTACATCATAAAAATGTTTTTCAAACTTGTTTAAGTCATTAAAAACACTTGGTGTTCGCCCAATCCAAAAACCAAGCCATCCAGTGTTCGGCTTTCAGAAACTAGTGTTCGGCTTTCGGTTGTCGGGTTTGGTTTTTGGCATCCGAACCAACCAAGTGGTTTTCAGCATTTTATGATCTGCTTTCACTCTTTGGCATGTTTAAACGGTTCTCCAACAAAAACACTTTGAAAACAATCTCTCGCTTTTAGTCGTTTGACAAAAACCACGCAAAACGGCGTAAACTTGGCTAGCCGTGGTTTTTACTCAAATGACGTGATTTTTAAAGTGTCTCACTTGATTTCTTAGCCAAATACATCAAATAAGTGTTTTAAACACTTGGTTTTTATTTTGGAGAACTTTGAATTTTTCGGTCGGTTTTTGCATCGATTGGCTAGGCCGTGGTTAAGGCAAAAACCATAGGTTTTTGGCTAACCACCCACCCAGCGATGGGAAGAACATCCCATCGATGGGTAAGTAGCCCCTTATCCAAACCAACTTCCAGAACCATGTCAAACAGCGATGGGAAACTCTACCCATCGCTGTTCAAGCCTTGGTCCAACATTATCACAAGGCAGAATGCCCTTACCCAACGATGGGAAGCTTTACCCATCGATGGGAACCCAGCGATGGGAAGGCTAAACCATCGATGGGAAGGCATGACCGTTGGAAGTCATTTAAGGTTGATTCTTTCCTTGTTTGGAAGTCAACCTCCCACCCAGCGATGGGAAGCTTGTACCCATCGATGGGTAGGTAACCGTTGGCTTCAAAACTGAAGGAAAATTGGCTTACCAGCAATGGGTAAGTTCCAAACATCGATGGGAAGCCAATATCCTGCAGATCCCAAATTTATTCAATCCCTTAAATCAAGCCAATCACCCCTTTAATGCATTGGTCCGTTGGAGCCTATTTTGGCACTATAAAAAGGGGTGTTTGGGTCTGCTTTTTCTCATCAATTCACTTCACTTTATTCATATTATCATTGCATCCAAACAACATTATTTTCCATAGCTTTCTAGAGCCAATTTGTGAAGTTTGAGTTGTTCTTGAGCGTATATAGTTTACTCAACATATACTCTTAAAGAGAGTCTTGTTCTTGAGTGTTCTTAGTGTTGTAAACACGTTTAGGGAAGCTTGTTTCCCTTGGTTGTACAAAGGAAAGGTATTTTCCTTCGGGTTGAAGTCTTGGAGTGCGGTATCTCCGAGCAAGTTTATTGAGGCTCGTGGGACTCGAGTTCTCAGGTTGTAACGGTTTGTTAAGCACCTGTAAGCTTAACGGAAGTAGTGTAGCTCGAGAGAGTCTCTCGGGAGGCTGGATTAGCCACAATTGTGGATTAGCACCCGGTTTCTTAGTGGTGTTGGTGATTTGTGTGTTGCATTATGTTTCGTAGTGATAACACGGATGGTTGATATATGCGTAGGTTGCTGGTGTGAGTGCAGTGGGTGATGAAACTGTGCCAGGAACTGATCCAGTATGTTCAAAAGCAGTGGTAGGAATGATTTTTTGGGAGATGTCAAAAATTAATTCGTGCATGGTAATTGGTGTTTTGGTTGGATTTTTTGGTGACTTAATTAGAAATATTATTGTTATGTAGGAGGTGAAGCAATACAATGCAGCAAGGAGGTTGGCTAGGAGTATAAAACCTGCCGGGCCTTTGAGATCACCCTACCTTACGCGACCGATTGATCCTTCAGATGGGTTATTTGTCCTGGAGAAGAGGGTGACGAATTGAGTGTTGCAGAATCCGAATGCTCCAAAGTAAGTTTTTGTTTTGAACTTTGCTAATTTGATAGAACATTATTGAATATGTATGGTTTAAAATTTGAATTTTAGCTTTTTAATAATTACATACTCCCTCCGTCCACAAATAAAGTTCTCACTTTCCTTTTCGGTCCGTCCATAAATAAAGTTCCCATTTCTTTTTTTGGTAACTTCTTTTTGTTAAAAAGACATATCTACCCTCACTTTCTTTTACTTTTCCTCTCCTTTTTCCTTCTTTTTTCTTCTCTCATTTCTTCTCCTTTCTCTTTTTTTATTGTTCTTCTTATTCCTTTCTTTCTTCTCTTCTTTCTTCTTCCCCCCTCCCGATTTTTTCTTTATTTTCTTTTTCATTCTTCTTCTTTCTTCTTCCCCTCCTCCGGATGTTTCCTTTCTTTTCTTTTTCATTCTTCTTCTTTCTTCTTCCCCTCCTCCCGATTTTTCCTTTCTTTTCTTTTTCATTTCTTCTTTTCATCTTCTTCTCCCTCCCCATCCCATTTTTCTTCTTTTTTTGTCCCCCAATCCAGATCTGAGAAATCCGATTCAGATCTGTGAAAGAGGTCAACGGCGATGAAGAAATCTATCGTGGTGGTGGAGTACATTGATGATGGTGTGTTGGATTCGAAAGAAG